TCGCCATCAAAATCGTCCACCTCAAGATTCCAAATCCGACTCAAGTCTCCGAAATTCAATCACATCCCTTGAATCCCCGCCAAATACCTATCCCCATTTCCGAAAATATCAAATCCCCATCTCGAATCATTTCCTTGAGTCTCCCTTGATTCATTCCTAAACCCTCGAGTTTGAATATCAAATTTGAATTCGAATCCAAACCCTAAATCTCTCCATTTCTCTCCAAATCAATCTCCTCCGAAAAAGTCTATTTTGCCTCCCTCGGATTTTTGTGGGCCGTTTTCTCCTCGGCCCATCTCCTCTCAGCCGCTCCTCCCCCTTCCCTTCCCACGTGCTGAGCACGCGCGTCGTGCCCGAGCCAAGAGAGAGCGCCGCCCTCTCCCTCTCTCGCCCTCTCTGCTTTCTCCTCACCTCGGCGCCGATTCCCGCCGCCGCCGTTTGAATTCGCCGGCCGCCCTTCCCGCGCGCGCCTCGCCTGCCCGCCGCCCAAAACGGAAGGGAGAGGCTTCCCTTTCCACCGTCCTCCCTCACTTTTCCCTTCTAAACCCGGCCTCTCTCCTCTCGCCCTTGTCTTCTTGTGCGCGGAGGCAGAGGACGCCGACAACGTCCTGCCGCGCCTGTGCCCCACCTTGACCGCGCCACGCCGATGCTCCCGCGCGCGGCGCCGCTCATGGCCGACCGCTGTGGCCGCGCCACCGTCGCCCCTGCCGCGTCGACCGCCTTGGTCCGCGCTCGCCGCCAAACCAGCCCTCCTCCCTTTTCGCTGTCATCCGCTGCGTCACCATGGCCCCGCCTCCGCATGCCACAAGCCGCCAACGTGGCGACGCCAATCCCACGCGCCTCTCCAGCCTCGCCGCCCAAAAACGGAAGGAGCAAGGCTCCCTTTCCTCCTCCTCCTTTCGCTTTTCCCTTGCGGGCAAGGCCGTCTCGCTCTCTCCCTTGTCCTGGTGCGGGAGCGTACACAGGGCGCCGCTGACGCCACCTTTGCGCCCTGTCGCGCCCACGCCACCACCGCGACCATGCCAGCTCACCGCTCCCACCTTGACCGCGCCAGCCCTGCGCTCCCGTGGTTCGAAATCGGCCGTCCGATCCACCGCCTTCGCCGCCCAGAGCATCCACGCCGTCGCCGCTTTCGCATCGCCCACGAAACCGCCGCTGCCGCAAGCCGAGCGCTTGACCGCCAAGGTCGGTTCTCCCCCCAAACCGACATCGCCTCACCCCGCGCCTATAAAACCCGAAGCCGAGCTCCCCATTCCATCTCAATCCCTCCCACTTCACACTCCTACTCCACTGCGCCATTGTCGCCCTTCCTCTGCTCTCGCCGTCGCCGTCCGCCGCAGAGCACCGGGAGACCGGTGCGTGCGAGGACGCGTGACGCGGGACTCCGGGCACCCTCCTTCCTCCCCTTCCTCGGCCCGAGGCCGGAGAGCTCGCTCCCGAGCCGTCGGCCGCTCGTCACTGCGCCCGTCTCGGCTTGGTAATGCCACCCTCCGTTCTCCCTTCTTGCTCGTCCTCTCCCTCCCTAGCTCGCGTGGTAGCTCGGCTAGCCCCCCGAACACGCATGGACACTGCCCCAGGTCTCGCCGCCGAACCGCCGCTCGTCGCCCTTGCACCGCGCGCTAGCTCGCCGGCCGCCATGCTCTGTCCCGGAGGCCGTCTCTCGTCGCCAGCCAACCTCGGTGCCGCTCCGTCCAATCCGACGCCGGGAATGGATTCCTTGAACCCCGGAGATGCTCCCATCCCTTTGAATCGAACCCTCGTCGTCTCGTCGTGTTTTCCCCTTTTTTGCTCTCCGGTGATTGCCGCCGCCATCGTCGGCTTCTCTCGCGTCGATTCCTCTCGCCGCCACGCCCCCGGGGATCCCTTTGACCTCCCCCTGGCTGCCCCAAGGCCGTCGGCCTTCTCCTTTGTCTCCGCGCCGTGTCGCCGCTTCCGCCGCCGCATAACGCCGCCGTGCGTGCGCCGCCGGTGACCATCGGGTCCCGCGTCACCGCGTGCGCGTCGCAACACCATACCGGTTCGGCTAAACCCAAGCCCGCGCACCCTTCGCTCTCCTCGCGCGCGGCCACGTCGGCATGCCGGCGAGATTGGCCGCCGCCGCCGGCCGTCGTCGCGCGTCCTCTTCCTGATCCGAGCCGTGGAATGAGTTCCCCTTCTCCTCCTCCTGCCGCCAGTGCTAGCTGCCCCTTCCGGCTCGCCGCCGTTCGCCGGATCCCGCCGCATGCCGTGAGCTGTCGGATCAACCTGCCCGGCCTCCTCTGCCTCCCCATCCGACGTGACTTCCACGTGGACGCCACCTCAGTCCCGGGCCCGCTTGACTGGGTCAAGTCGCGCCCAGTCAGCCTCCTCCCTCCGTCTTCCCTCCCGTGCGCGCGGTCCACGGCAAGCCGTGCGGCTGCACGTGGGCCCGCCGCCATCCGTCCACCCGGCGCGCCGCGCCTGAACCGCGTGCATCCGAAACCCTAGCGCCCACCTCCGCGTGCACCCTCCCCACCGTGAACCCAACCACTGCCATGTGGGTCCCGCGCGGTGGACCGCGCCCACCCCGACGGGCCACCCTCTCTCCCCGCGCGCCCCTTGGGCCGCCCTCCTCGCGGCCGTGCCGGCCCATTAGGCTCGCCCGAGCTGCGCAAGTCCCTCGGGCCGCGCCAATGCCACCCGAGACAAGTCTGATTGACATCCCTCCATCCTTTTCTTTTTCCAGGGATTTAATAAATCCTTTTTCCTTTGTCCCATAAATCAATTCCTTATTCCAAAATTCCACAAATCATTTCCTTTGGTCCCGCGCGTCAGTGACTGTCAATAATATTCTTGAGAATATTATTTCTATAAAATTCCATAAACCATTTCTCCTATTCCAGAAACTCCAATTAAACTTCCAAAATTCATGTCTTCTCAACCGCTCATCCGATTGACTCCGTTCCACTTCCAGTAATTCCGTAAAATTGAGATCTATTCAATGGCACTAATAATTAGTCTAAATAGGATCTTTCTTTTGGTCTTTTGTTTAGGTTTTCGATTGTTTGCGTATAGTTGCGGTTATCGGATTTTCGTCGATCGCGGGTTTTCTCGAAGATTCGTGAAGCTTCGTGAAGACCTTGAGCAAGGCAAGTCACCCTTTGATCAATTGCTCCTATAATTGAAAAATCATTATTATTTTGTTTGCAACTTGCATTTTTAGAATCACACACTTAACTTGCTTGGCCTCGGGTTGCATGCCAAATCGACGGACCTACCCAGTAGTCGCACTAATTTCCGTAGGTCATACTACCCTGATTCCTTGACGCTCCACCCTTGTGGTACCTCGGTATTCGTGCTCTCTGAGCGCGTATACCAAATATCCCACATACACCGTTGTTTGTCGAAAACTTGGGAAATGGGTTTGTGAAGCCTTCAAAACCCGACATGTGGTGTCGGTGTGTTTGAAAATAAAATGAATTGTGAAAACTCGCGATGCGGGGGTTGTGCCTATGTGGCACTGTCCCGTATTCGCATATAAGGACCGATTCCTGTGGGAAACTCACCGAACATAACCAAAGTGCAACCACAAGGTGGAATGGGACACCCTAGCTAAGTAACTAGACGGTTCAGGGAAACCTCGCATGCCAATAGTTGGGAACGCCGGGGCGGGGTCGGACAAACCGGGTTCCTGGTAAGGCAAGGACGAGAAGCTTGCTCACTTACCGATCAAGGTGGTTGGAGTTTGATTTGTGCACGCCTAAAATGGCCTATGTTTATGTGAGGATTTGATCCTTCTATGTGGCATGAGGTAACCCTGGGTCGGCTGGGGAAAGGCTTTGTTGCGAACCTCCGATACCGACGGGTGTTCGGAATAAGTTCGTATCTTGTGGGTAAAGTGTACCCCTCTGCAGAGGTTAACTAACTGTTCGAGCAGCCGTGCCCACGGTCATGGGCGGATGTGAGGTGGTTCCCGTTGCGTAGATTTGTTTGCCTGTGCTTTGTGAAAAGTTGTTGTGGTGTGGGAATCGTAACCAGAATCAGCCTATGTGGCAGATGGACGACCTAAGTGGTCAGAAACGAATCTGTGTGATTCGGGATGTCTGCGGGCATCATAGACTAGGCTTCCCGAGTGGAAGCGGATTGTTGTGCTGCTGGGCAGCTGGACTCTGGGAGTCCGAGAAAATGAAAAAGGCTCTGGGAGCCGATTAATCAAATGGAATGGCTCTGGGAGCCGAGAAGTAATGATCTGACCCGGGAGGTCGGTACATTACTAAATGAGCTGTTGAAAAAAAAACATCTCTTAATGTCGAATCGAGACGCAAGTCTCTTTTCGGCCCAAACTTAGAAAGAAATAAATCACTTAGTGATTTCAAAATGTCTTCAAATAAAAGATTTGCAAAACAACCTTGCCTCTCTTCCAAGCTTGCATTAAACACCTAAGTTCCCGTGACTTGCTGAGTACGAAAGTACTCACCCTTGCTCTATATAAATATATATATAGTTCCCCGGCCCTGAAGAGAAGATAAAGTGAAGTGAAGATTAGGGTTTCGTCCTGGTTCCCAGCCGTCGCCTGTGGTGTTGGGTGTTAGACCGTTGTCAAATATTTCTGACAGGAGGAAGTATCAATTTATTTCATGTCTTATATTAATTGATGTTTTTTAGTATACTAGTTTCAATTAATTTGTTATCAGATAAATTAAATGTCAATGGTGGATCCTTAATTCATCATCTATAATGCTTCCTAGAATTAATGGACATCCATTTACAATTTAAGTTTGTTGAGAATAGTCAGTTTCATGTACATATGTAGTGGTATCTATTCTTGCTGAAATTTGTATTGTTTTTATTCGTTTCTGATACCGGTATCTTATTAGGCACAAATTAACGTATATAAGTACCGCTGCTATTTTTAGTGAAAACATTACTTTGGTCTGATATCCAGTAGTAGTACGTTCAGTTACTTGATTATGAACACATATATATTATCTGTATTTCCATGTAATAAACTATTTTTCACAACTCTGGAATTCTTTTTTCAGCCTGGAGGGGACAATCGACCGCTACATTAGCCACACCCAAGAGGCGCCTGCAAACAAGAAGCCCCGTGAACTTACTGTAAAGGTCCTTGTGGATACATTCTGAATTCCTCATATCTATCAACCATGATCGATGACGATAATGTGTGCAACTTGCATTAATTTTTTTTTCTTCACAACTACTGCATACAGAATATGAAATCTCAATCCGAAACCTTAGCAATGGAGATTGACACAGTTGAGGCATACACAAGGTAACTATAATAGCAATGATTATTCCTTATCAGAATATATATGAAATCATGCAGACTGGCAATTACTATATGTTCCTAATTATTAGGGTGGGGAAATTCACATGACTAGATGAAAATGATTTTTCACGTAGGAAGATGCAGGGCGAAAACCTGGAATCATGCTCGTTGCAAGAACTGCATGGCCTGGAGATGCAGATGGAGAAGAGCCTAAGCAGCATCCGTTTACAAAAGGCAAGCAAATGGTCGCAATGTGCTATCTATGTTGTTGCTGTTGTGAATATCTCTATGATATATGCATTTTGATCAGATTTACATAAATATCTTTCTTGTTGTCCGTCAACATTGCAGCAAAAGAAGCTGATGGATAAGATTTCACAGCTACAACAACAGGTATGCACTTATGTATCTGAATATAATATATATCAAAGCATGGCTGACAAGAATTATTGTTCTGAAAGAGGATTTTTGCATAACTTGTTAGTAATACATCAGTATGATTAGATGGAAACACTTGTTCGCCTCAACAAGCCGTCTCTTCCTGGAGTGTACTGCTTTACAAAAGATGTTGATACAAATACAAATCTCAAAAGATTATCTATATATCCATGTGTGATTAACTGACGAAACTGAACATGCAGGAGAAGATTCTGTCGGAGGAGAACGCACTGCTCCTCGATCAGGTATCATTAAAAAACTCATCATCAACCACACGCCTATTTACTGCACCTACTAGCTGCCGGATTAATCTGCCAATAATGTCACTGACATGTGGGGCAAAAGGCGCTATCTATCCAATGCAACTTACAGTGACCGGTGTTAATATCCATCTATACATGTCAGCTTTTGCATGATGATGAATCTTTTCTTCTTGTTCGTTCTTGTTTGTGGAGGGCAAGGTGCAACATGCTCCAATCGGGGCTCCAGCGCGCGAGATGAATCAGAACCAGCATGTCCAGGATATTGATGTTGACACTGAGCTGGTCATTGGAAGACGGTGAAAATATTCAGATTTTACAGAAGTGGTTGTGGAAACAGTTCACAGAAGAGAAGTGAATGTGTTGATGAGGATCAACTTGTTGACTGAGCGAGTTATACACAATTTGTTTGTAGCAAGTTGCTAAATTTATTTGTCGATATTATATAATCTTGCTATGAGGAGAAGGTAGTGGCGCCTATACATGCAGCATTGTATTCAGGCTTGTGTTTGACCAACAGACATGCTGTGCAGTTCGGATCGGATATACATAAACCAATCAAATTGAATAATCATATCAATTATGTATGTGGTGGTAGATCTTTGAAAAGAAGTTGATATATGTGTGATATTCTCGATCAAATCTAGTTGGTGGCACGAATTCCAGAGTCCAGACAGCTATACACAGAGAGGAAACCAAACTTTGTTTTCAGGGATATATATATTTACTGAACTTATGCGGAGATCAAGTATACATCATAATCAATCCACCATTTTTGAAAGTTTTGAAAAAGGGAAAAAGAATTCTCTCAACAGAAGATGGATTAGCATAAACATTGAACTAGAAATGCATCCCGTTCTATGAACAAAAGAAAGAAACAGAGAGTCCATGAACTTTGACAATAGCTAGCATCGCATCGCATAGCAGAGCAAGCCAAGAAGAAGAAACAAAATGAAGAGATGAACCACTGCAACTTTGAACTCGATCTGATGATCGATCGATTGATGATTAGTAGAAGTTGTTGGATCCCTGGTAGCAGAGTCCGGTGATCCACCAGGGGGAGATGGCGTCGGAGACGATGATGGTCTGCTGCGGCGTGCTGTAGGTGGTGAGCTTGACGGTGAGGCCGTCGGAGTTGTCCAGCGCGGCGAACACCTGGTACGTGATGCCCCAGTTGTGCGCCGCCTGGATCCAGGCGCCGCCGCCACCGGAGGTCTTGACGGAGAGGGAGGAGACGTCGCCGGCGCCGCCGACGTTCATGACGTAGAGCAGCAACCAGTAGTGGTTCCCCTGGAGGCAGAACCTGACGCCGCCGGTCCTCTGGCACGGCACGCGGCGGTACTGCACCGGCACGATCCCGGCGACCCTCTGCGCGAGCTTGAGGAAGGAGGGCGGCGCCATGTCGAAGTGGTGCCGCGGCGGGTTGCACCAGCCGCCGTCGTCGTTGGGGAGGTACCAGTTGGGCGGGCACAGGTTGGTCCCCGTGATGACCACCGACGGCGACCCCGGGTTGCACCACGGCGACTTGACGCACCGCAGCTCGTAGCACTGCCCGCACCCGTTGCCGTCGGCGAACAGCGGCGTGCTCAGCGCCGCCGTCTTCGTCGAGTAGAGCGACACGATGTCGTTCGACACGTACCCGCACGCGCCACCTATATAGCAGTAGTAGTACATGCATTCGTTATATAGCTCGTCGGCGTTCATGGCCGGAGAGAAAAGCAAATGAAATGAAGACGATACTACGTACCGAAGTCGTCGCCCATGCCGGAGGGGTCGCCGTAGAAGGTGGCGGAGCCGTCGTGCCAGTCCGATGTCTTGTAGGGGGTGACGGCACCAGGCGCCGGCTGTTGCTGCCAGTACAAGTCTGTGGTGAAACCGGCCGTGACGACCTGCGCCGCCGTCGCCACCGCCAGCGCGGCGGCGAGGAAGATGGCCGGATTATTCCAGCTGCTGGCCATGCTATTGTCGTCGATCGGCGGCGAGGGATGTGCAGCTAGCGTACGTATGATTTGATTGTAGCTAGCTACTGGAGTATATATGCATGGGTACATCGATCTAGCTAGCTCTTGTTAGTTGGTGCCTGCCACGTTAATGATCGATCGCGCCAAATGTTGATGAGCGCACGATTAATTTGTTTTCATTTTTATTTTTTTAAAAAATGTGTGTGACTAATGCTTGCAGGACATGCTCGCCACGCATATTACTCCTACATATTAAGTCAGATATATTATTAATTTCATGCCGGCCTGCAGGCATCCCAATAATCCTCCTGAGCTTAATTTTCTTTGAATCTTATCCCCAGAAGAACCAAAAAAAAAAGATTGAAAACGTTATAAAGAGGTCAGATGCCCTCGTATTGAAATTTTGAAGGTCTAGTACACGGTTTTAAAAGTTTTTTTTTTAGGGGAGGGGGGTTGGTTAAGGCCAACTTCTAGGGCCGAATGGACTTTTATCCTCTTAGAATAGAGGAATAAATTCATCTGAGGTCCCTTAACTTGTCAACGAATCCGGTTTTCATCCTTCAACCGGAAAACCAGATACAATAGATCCCTCAACTATCAAAACCGGTGCAAACGAGGTCCCTCGGCGGTTTAGACTGCTGTTTTGGCTGACGTGGCGCATACGCGGCTAATTTGACTCGGTCTTCATCTGATGTGGCATTGACGTGGCGCTTACGTGGCAATCCGATATGAAAAAAATAATAAAACCCATGGGACCCACATGTCAGCTTCACACACAAAATAATTAAAAAATGGTGGGACCCACGTGGGCCCCACATGTCATCTCTATCCTCATCACCTTTCATCTTCCCCTTCGGCCTTCACCCTTCTCTCTCTCGTGGATGGCATCGACCGGTGCCCACCGATGGATGGCGCCGGCGGCGAGACGGAACACGGCGGCCACGCCACCTCCTCCCCCGCACCGGACGCGACAAGAACCTGCCATGGAAGCTCGCGGCGTTCTCGTCACCACCACCACCGTTCTCGTCGCCGGAACCCGAGTACGAGGGGACGGAGTGGGAGCCCCTCCTCCGTCGGAGCACAAGGAGCTCGCCTCCTCCCTCACGGAGCTCATCGTTGGACCCAGCCGCCCCGCCATCGCCGATTCGCCGTTGACCAGGCCGAACCCGCCGCCGGCTTGCCGCCCCTCCTCTCCCCGCCAACCCTCGGACTGCCACGGCCGTCCGTCGCCAAACGAGCCTTCCTCGCATATGCGCAGTACCGCTTGCTCGTGCCGAGGATCGCCGTGCCATCCCAGGCTTGACCACTCCCTGCCGCTGCCGCTCTTCTCGTCGGACCAGCGCGACGGGTCATCGCCGCCACGTAGCTTGCTCTTCTCCTTCTCCAGGGCGTTGCCTAGCGTGATGCCCTCGAGGACATCTCGCCGCTCTGCGTCTCCTCGTCAACTACGGCTAGCAGCAGCAGACATATAAGTAAAGCTCGCGGCAACCAATATCCAGACAGAGCCAAGCATATCGCAAATATAGCATCACAAGAGGGAATATTAATAGCTTCATTATACATATAAGTAAAATCCTTGCACCTATAACTTGCTCAATCAAGAAGCGAATTGAATATTTGAATCTGTTAATTGCATTTCCAACTCGCGGTCCGCCGGGACCTCGCCGGAGCCCTCCCGGAGGTCTAGGGCCCTCACGCCGCGGGCAGTGTGGAGGCAGCAGAGGCGACGAGGAGGTGCCTTCTTTCTTGGGATGGTCAGCCAGTCGGGGCGGCGGCAAAAGCTTGGGTTTTTTGAGGCGGCCGGGCGAGGGGAGGGGCAGCTCCGACCCAGATGTGACCATCGAGGATGTCAGCGGTGGCGGTCGGGCGAGGAGGGAGGCGGCGTGTGGCGGCAAGGCGAGGAGGGAGGCGGCGCGCGGAGACCGAGCGAGGAGGGCAGCGCCTTTCAACTGGGCATCGCGGGCGGAGCGGCCAACGGAGTGTAGCTGTCGCGCTCGCTGACGACCTCCTCCTCTGCCTCTTCCTCCTCCGGCAACCTCCGCCGCCCGCGGCCTGCCGCCGCTCCGCCCGCCTCTCCGCCGCTCCGTCCGCCGGCATGCTCCTGCCGCCGCCGCGAGGACGAGGGAGAGCGAAGAGGAGGAGAAAGGAAAGCCGAGAGGGACTTGTGGCTGACATTGGGGCCCACGTGAGCCCCACCATTCTTTTATTGATTTATGTGTGAGACTGACATGTGGGTCCCACAAAGTTTATTATTTTTCCAGATCAAATTGCCACGTATGCGCCACGTCAATGCCACATCAGATGAAGACTAAGTCAAATTTGCCACATAGGTGCCACGTCAGCCAAAACCACCGTCAAAACCACCGAGGGACCTCATCTGCACTGGTTTTGATAGTTGAGGGACCCGTTGTATCTGGTTTTGTGGTTGAAGGACGAAAATCGGATTCGTTGACAAGTTAAGGGACCTTAGATGAACTTATTCCTAGAATAGAATAGGATGGTGCTTGGGCTACAATAGCAAGCCCAGCCTGCAGGTCAATCAAACCTGGGCTTCAACAATAATGGGCCGAACCACTAGTCTATCCATGCACTAAAATCTCCTAATGCGGCCGGTATACTGATTCCAAGCAATGAAGCAACTACAGCTGCATAATATATCCATGCGTCAGGATATATAAACCCCGAACGAAAAATTAAAGTATGTAATGGGAGGGTTTTTTTGGAGCGAAAAACTTTTAGATATAACTATAATATAATTTAAGTGTAACTATATTGTAACTACACTATAACTATACTGTAACTATGATATAATTAATATAAAACTTTTATTTAACTATGGTTTGGTTGGTTAGCATCAGGATCTTATGTATGACATGTGTGAAAAAAATTTTCTAGCATTTTTTTCTTTACGCACAAATCTCGAAGTGATTTGATGGTCACTAATTAATATGGAAGTTTTGGGAACAAAATGCTTGCAAAAGTTTTCCAGGAGTAACAATTATGTAAAAAAAATGGCAGAGAAGCACGTACTGTTTTGCACGAATTTTGACGCCGAAAATCGACAGTCCAGAAAACAAATGATGTGGAAATAAAAAAATCATTCGGCAGATTTCTAGCGCTCCTATAAAAAGAATAGCAGAGGAGTCCACACTGTTTTGCACGAATCTTGCCACCCGAAATCAATGGACCACAAAACGAATGCTGTGAGAATGAAAAATCATTCGGTGAATTAAGATTGACTTTTTTCGTTTGCAGTTTGCTAGGACAAATTAAGAATATCTATAGGCTATTGGCGAGGTCGTCTAAGAATGAAGTGAACAAGTAATCTGCAGGTTGGTTGGTGATCGATCGATCGTACCCATACGTACGTGGTCCGTCATGCAGGTAAACTTTCCCATCCGTCCACCACATATGTATACATGTACGCATCAACATTTTCCTATATATATCGCGCGCCGTCGTCTTCAAACTAAAATTAACAAAATATTTGAAATTTCTATGGGTACCTAAACACTTTCTCATCCTAAAGCACTAAACTTTTGAACCCTTCGTTAAACTTTAAGTCCATGCATGCTATTGACTCATTTGATACGGCTCATACAGTCATGCTCAACATTTTTGTCCTGTAAAACTGGGGTTACACACAAAATTGCTCCTCTATAGAATAGAGTTACTGCTCCGATCCTAAAAATTGCAATTTAAAAGCGGAGCGGCATTCCCACCACTTCTCAACTCCGCTTCACTCTTGGAGTAGGAGTTATATCAAACATGCCTTATATCTTTTCTAACAACCGTTTTCCTTTTCCTTAATTAATGCATGGACATGAAGCAGCCCTATGGGCTCAAGGGTCAAGAATTTTTGGGTTGGAGACTCGGAGTTGAAACCGGCCGGAAGGATATAGGTAAGGGTGAGCATTTTGATCTCCCTGAAAATTTCTTGGAGCAAATTTTGGTCATCTGAAAGTAGAGACCGAGCGAATTGTGTAGTAAACAATTTGAGAACCAAGCTATTCGTTTTGGGTTATTTTGGTCTCAGTCTCGACCGTGATCGAAATTGCAGATAGATATAGAGGAGAAAACACACAAATCAAATCTCAGCAAAATTTTGGAGGATGCTTGCACAGGTTGATGGTGGAGTAGGATGATGCACGCGCAGGTTGGAAGAGGTGGACGATGCGCCTGTGAGCTGGTTGGGGTGGAAAAGTACGTGTGCTCGACAACAGGGATGGATCTAACATGGGAGCGGCGGAGTCTCAAGTCTCCACTATTAGCGCGAGGACTATGGTTGCCCTTACTAAAACTTTTTGCTATATATAGATGAAAAGAGGGTTGTAATTTGTTCAGATCCCCTACTATTTATTTCTAGATCGGTCACTGCACGACGAGGCTACATATGCATATGCATGGGCAAAGAGGGTCGGAGGAAATGCGGGCCGGCTTCGGGCAACGGCGTAGAACAGTAGGACAGGCCGCCGCATGGACCATCTGGCAGCATGAGGCGACGGCTAAATGCCAAGTACGAGCAGAAGCAGAAAGTATATATATATAGTTTTCTCTAGTGGGTATTCACTATGTATGGCTATTAGGCTGACT